CAAAATGCTACCCTATTCTTAATAAAATTTATAAGTTTCTAACTGGAAAAGCTAATTATTTATAAGTTCAAAATGTAAGCTTTCATCTTTCATATTATTATTATTATTATTATTATTATTATTATTTTAATACAGTCATATTATTTTTTATTTTTTTAATTAAAAAAAAAATATCCAACCCGCGAGCTGGCCCGTTTGACCCGCGGGCTGGCTCGTTTGGGTCTGGGTTGTATCGGGTCGGGTTGAGTCGGGTTGGTAGCTCATTTAGGCCAACCCAACCCGACTCATTTAGGACGGGTTGCGAGCCAACCCGCTCGTTTTTGCCATCCCTATTCACAACCTCATTGGGTTAATTTGGAAATCATGAAATGTACGAATGTTTGATTATGTGTTGGTTGGTTGATGTGGTTAGGAGCATTAAATGGTATGTCTCCTTTGGAATTAAAGGCTTAGAATGATAAATGATGATGATTGATGCAATAAAAGTTATTGGTGATATGTTTAGTAACTTAGGCAAAATTTTGATGGATGTTGTCATGGAAATCATAAATGTGGTGGTTGAGAATTAATGGTTAGTTGTTGGTATGAATTAATTGTATGATTATATGATGTGTATAAGTGTGGAATTGGATTGGAAACCTTAGAGCTTGTGTCCTTGGGGAATTTGACCTATAAGGGATATTGGAGGATAATGGGATGAAAAATATTGTAAAAATCAATGGTTGGTGCCTTGGTGAACAAATGGTTATGATGATGAGTTAATTCGAGGACTAAAATGATTGAGGTAGTTGGGATAATTGGAAAAATAGCCTTAGGCCTAAGTGATTATGTTTATGTATTAGTGTTGTGAATTGGTTGATTGTTGGCAATTGGTTGATGGTCATTTTGTTGATCATATAGGTTGCCTCTCACGGACGCGATAGAAACGGACTAAGCTTGGAGCCTACGTTTTGGAGCCTTGTCTTCGGAGTTGAGGTAAACTTTCGGAACTTGAGTTTAGTCCCTTGTGTGCTCTACCACACCTAGTGGAAGGTTGTGGTTGGATTTTGTGCCTTTGGACATTGTGTGAATATGTATATTCATGCATTATTCCTTGATTGTGTGACATGCTTGGAGCATGTTGTATGAAATTTGGTGATCTATGGCCAGTAAATGTGTGTGATTTGGACTTCTGCTGGAGATATCCTTTGGGGATTTCGGTCGGGTTTTACCGTAGGGCTGACTCTGGGAGCGGCACCAGGATGATCCAAACGTGGGACTTCCGCTGGATAGGGCTCATGAGGAGTTCCAGTTGGGTTTTGCCATGGGGTCGTCTCATCCATGGGAGAGGCACCAGGAAGATTCCCGGGAGTTATATGATGGGGCCTTGAACGGAATCCTTATGAGGATGTTCTTGGTTTTGTGCCCAGTTGTTTGTGATTTTGTATGCATATGCATTTTTACATGATGTTATTGTTGCACATTGAGTGAGCCATGGGGTGGAGTAATCCTCTAATACCCTTGGTTTACTGAGATATATTTGTATATCTCACCCCGCGTTTGAGGACATCATTTCAGGCTATAGTGAGCATGGAGGAGCTTCGGGCAAGAGGCCCGCTTAGTGGAGGATTCTAGCATGAGGTGCATATGGATAGCATGACATTTTGGAGGAGTTTATTTGATGCACATCGTATAACATTTAGCATTTTGCACTTAGATCATGAACATATTGCATGTTGAGATTTCCATGCTTTTATGGTGTTCATGACTAGATTCTGAGTCTATGTAGTTGATGTACGTTTATGCCTCTTGTTATAGTTGTATTTTGAGTGAGCATGCGACTTGTCAATGACCACATATTTTGTATTATGGAGGCATTGTAGGATTTGTGTTGTAAATAGACCATTTGATTATGATATTGAGAATTATTGTAATTGATGCATTGATTAATGAATATGCATGATGGAAGGGCCTAGAGCCTACATTAGTACATGTGTAAGATGTATGTTGAGTATTAAGGTGTTAGAAGTAAGTTACATCACCCTTTTTGTGTTTTAAATGCTGATATCTATCATTTTTACAGCAGGGTAATCGATTACCTGAAACAGGGAGAGAAAATCAAGTCTGCATCAGGCATAGGGCACTCAAGCGCTGATATGGGCGCTCAAGCGCGCCACGTACGAGAAATATAGGAAAATCCCCTGCCCTTGGGCGCTCATGCGGGCGCTCAAGTACGAGAAATACCTGGAAAGAGCCAATTTTTCTATCACTAGGCGCTCAAGCGCGCTCCTCGAAAACAGCATGTTCGCAGTTTGGCAAAATTGTCATAACTCGAGCTACAGAGCTCCGATTTGAGCGCGGTTTGAACCTTCGCGTAGCTAATTAAGAGAGCTATAACATAGTAAGAGATGGAAGACAAAAGGGAAGTTTGGAATTAATCGAGTAATAAGGAAAAGAGTGAATACACTAGTACCGAACATGAATAAAATAAGTTATAAGCTTTGTTGGTTTATGGGAACCACTTAGCATCTTTAAATGTAAGTTGTATGGTATTAAGCTATGGCATTCATAACTCCGCAATAAGTTTTGATTTATGATCATAGTTATTTTAGAGGTACAAACGAGGTTAAAAAGAAAAAGTTTACTCATAATTTAATTAACTCAATTACTGTGATTGTAACTGCGCTTAATACCATATGCAATGATAACATTACCGGTACGTAACGGGCTGTTACAAAGGTTCTCGGAGGGGGCTGGTGGAATTAGACCTCTCGGTCATTCTAAAAAAGTCAATGAATAGACGTCCGTTAGACATATCTTAAGAGAAACTAAGCAAAGAAAAACTTATCGCCGTGAAAAAATCTGATGAAATAGAAAGATTCGAGAAAGTTTAATAAAATTTCACAAAGATGAAGAGAAGGAGAAGGTACACATACCTGATATTTATATTATATTTCTGGTAGGAATGTTGAAGCAGGACGTGTCACTGAAGGAAATCCAAAGTTAAGACAATGGCGAAACACACTCGGCAGAAGTGATGAGAAGAGTATTCTCGTCTGATCAAACATTTTCCCTCCACAAATTAAGAACAATGCAAATACAAAAAGTCACCGAGGGATATTTAGGTAAAAGCATCAATTGAAATGGAAAAAAAGGGGGCACGTGTGAAGAAGGTGAAAAGATTAAAGTTTAAATCACCCCACGTTGGCAATTAAAACCTCCACGTAATTACGATAGCATTTAATGCTTCTGACAGTTAAAGTCTTATCAACCATTTCTTACATATGTTTGCATTACCAGCTATCATTAAGCACAAAATGAATCCGATAGCGCACGAAAGGATAGAAGTGAACCATTAAAAGAAGGGTTTTTGTGAGGTACAAACTTCAGTATCTCACATCTTATGCTTGCAAGCATAAAGCTGCAAGCCTGCGAGCTAGGGGGCTACTGATCTGGATAAAGGTAAAGGCCCATAAGGTTTAAGAGGCTCGGAAAGAGCCCAAGAGGGCGGAATGATCCTATCGTGCCAAATACATAAGCATTGCGCGAGTTCTTATGATAAACCACCCGATGTGACTTACAAACTAAAGAAAGTCTTAGCAACAAGCAGAATAACATTGCGCACAAGAGCCAATACGAGAAAGACAACTCTAGCTTGCCACCACTCTAGAAAGATAGACTATTATATAGTCTGCTCATCAAGGAAATAGGCCAGTAAGGCACCAGCTGAGACAGAAAGGCAGCAACCCATAAACAACCAATAAGAAGGTATGCCGCCTATTAAAGGCGGTACAAAGCTTGCTATAAATACAAAGAGTGTAAACCCAGGTATGATCATCTTATTCCCATTGGATATAACACAAACCTAGTATTGATACTGACTTAAGCATCAGAGTGTCTTTGCAGGTACCCCCAGTCATTTCCATTGCGCTTGGACTATTCAACGGCCTTATCACATACAGCAATATTCTTAAGCCCACTTGCAGCCCAAAGTCTTCAATCCATCAATCATGTATGATTTAGCCCAATCCAAGAAGATGTGGAGTGTGTCAAAGATGCATTTATTGACCGAAAAGTAAATTTTTTGATTGAGATATATGTTAAAGTTGATTCTGGTGAGCCTTCATCTTTATCCTAATGCCTAGTATCTGAGTGCGTCGCCTCGTCCTCATCATCTCCCTCCTCCTCAGAAGCAGGAAATTTTTCCTCCTATTCGTAGTTGTACTCGAGTATGATAAAGGGAAAGAATGAATGAAATATTTTATAAAAAAACCCAACCCGTGCAATACACTCGAGTACACAGGCTCTACACTTGAGTAAATAATGCATCAACAAACACAACTCACAAACAATACTCGAGTATGTCATTTGTATCCCCAAGTATTTACTATTCCACGCAATATGCTTGAGTATCCAACTACTTTACTCGAAAATATTACTTGGTCAATTGTCAAACGGGAACAAATGTGTGATATGTTTGGTTACAAGGGCAAAGTGATAATTTTTAATTAAATCAAGAGCAAAAAAGTCAAAAAAACCCCCTTAAACCCACCGAAGACTCTCTCTCAAAAATTTAAAAATTTATCTAGTTTAAATAACATCAACATATATATTAATTCATTACAACAATTCGTTCTGCTCAATAATACAAATTTTATTTTATTTTTTAGTACAAATACAAATTTTATTCCAATACAATATGAATTTACCATACTTTTGTTATTTAATACACTGTTTTTACAGCATATAAATAAACAATTAAAGTCATATTTTATACCATTTTTTTCATAATTTAAAATGTAAAAGTAATTTCAGTTTAGGGTATCGAAACAAAATTCTAATGAAATTATTTTTAAGATAATGGATAAACTAGTCAGATTCTCAAATTAAGTTCATCAAAATTTTTAGTGTCAGTTCTCTTAATTTTAATTCTTCAAAACAGCTATATATAAGACAGCAAGCAGTAAGAGAACAAAGAATTATGAGACTAATTTTTACATGGCATTCCACAATTAATTTCATTAATCAGAAGGCTTTGGGGATAAGGTAGGGGGGCCAGAGAAAATGCTAAGTCTTTGGTATGAAGTCTTGTCATGAACAAGTGATTCAGAGACCCAAGATGGAATAACTCCAGCAGCTGCTCGTCTTTCTCTAAAAGATGCCCAAGTAACCGCATACAGACCAGTAATGATTAAAGATCCCCCCATGATGCTGTTGTCAAGGATAAAAAAATTAAGAACAATAAGAAACTTGAAACAAGAAATTTGTTTCAGACTGCCACCTCTGGATGTTATAGAAATAGGAGAAATTCTGGCATAAACATAGTTTACAGAAGCGTAGACTGAACTAATAATACATGACACATCATCATGCTCCATTATATAGTTGCGTAAATCAATGTGCTAAACATTTAGATAATGACATATGAATGATTTTATATTAACATCTCTAACATGTCCTTTTTTGGGCTTGAACCATGAATAATAAGCATGCTCATCTAGTTTGAAAGGATCGAACTCTAGGATCGAACTCTAGATGACTTGATGATAGAGACTTTGGTACTATATCATGAATCAACTACCCCAAAAGCTTGTTAGGTGAAAACACATAAATGGTTTTATATCCATCTCTAACAATAACCACGTGTAAGTTATTTATTGACTTAATAGCAACTTGTGTAGACTGTTTATATAAGAATCTTCCTAGAAACAGGAGGCTGGGGGCGGGGGTGTGGATTCAGTAAACTCAACAAAATAAGACATGACATTCACTCCTAACAAAATCCTCTTTGGAAACTAAAGTGTATTCTACATTTTGGTGTTAGCATTAACAAGGTGAAAAAGCTTATAGACACTTATTCAGTTAGAAATAGTATTGTATCATTATTATTCTATTATTCTAGAAGGTTATTTGGGCTTGATCCATTAGGTCATTTAACCTCTTTAAATAGAGGACTCTTGTACAGTTCTACATACAATTGAATACAATATATTCATACATCTTTTATGATATATACGCACCAGCTTGAGGAGAGTGATAGAAATAGTATTGTATTATTATTATTCTATTATTCTATAAGGTTATTTGGGCTTGGCCCATTAGGTTATTTAACCTCTTTAAATAGAGGACTCTTGTACAATTCTACATACAATTGAATACAATACATTCATACATCTTAATTGCATTACTATCAGGGAAGTAATAGGAGATGTACCTTCCCAAGTAAATTGGACTTCCAAGAAAGATTCTGGACAGGAGAGCAGAAGCCCCAGGTTGAAGTGGATTATAAAGGGCAACCATAGCCGGCCCCAAGATCTTGTTGCACCATGTAATGAGTCCATAATTAAGGGCAGATGCAATGATTCCCTGAACAAACAAGGAAAACATATATGTTAAAAATCCTCCAAAATAATGTATTAAAGGTTTTGATATAAAAGAGTTCTAAAATGCAGGGACATAAGAGACTTGCATTCCTTTCATGCTCAAATAAACACACCTTCATTGCTTTACCCCAGTAGCTTTCATTCCTTTTCTCAACTTGGGGCATATAACCAAATACAATTTTCAATGATATATTCATAGCCTCTTTACTTCTGTCAGTTTAAACGACCTTTGTCCACTCATGCCTCGCCTGAGAGAAAGATAACCACCAAACCATACCAGAGAAATCCCATCTTATTCTAAACTATGCTGCTCCAATTAAGAAATAGATTTTTCCAATAATTCTAATGCCAAGTTTAGTTGCTTAATGCTTAGGTCACAAAAAGGTAGACTACGGTTCATACAAATAGGATATGCCACAGCGCTTGGTTGCTAGAATTAAATGTCTTGAGAGATGAAAATAAAATCCACTTCTATAAACCCTAACAAGCGAGGGTGGGGTGAGGACAATCCTTTTATGCAGCCTTATCCATGCATAATTACAAAAAGGCTATTTTTCGGATTCGAATCCGTGACCTTTCAATCACAAAGGAACAACTTTACCACCACTTCAGGCTCTCTTTCTTGAAAGATATAAATGTTTTACAAAAATTTGTTCAGTGACTCTCTCTCTCTAGTCACCATATGCAACACATACATTTGGTTTCATCTAATCCTAAAAGCTTTGATCTTTTCTTTTTTGCTTTTATTAATACCTACATGTTAACAAATCAACAGAAAAACTAACAAAAATTTCAAACTCAGATCACACATAAACTAACATACAATAGTTTTATAACTATATTTGAATAATGTCATGATATTTGTTAGGTATGATGTATCAAATCAGGGACATTGTCAACTGCACATGAACTAAGGTTCATTATATCAACAACACCTTTATTCCAAACTAATTGAGGTCGGTGGTAGATGAACCCAAATAAAAGATACGAAGGGATAAAAATAAAAATAAATAAATTAATTATAATAATAATATATAAAAATAAAAGGGGTGTAAAAAAAGTATATATATAAATAAATCAATAAAAAGATGGGGAAGGGAAAAAGAGATAAAGGAAAAGAAGCGGAAATGAAGAGGAAAAGGACTTTAAAGGGACCATATGGAACATATGAATTACAACGGGTCTGATCCTCCACCATGCTAACAGCTTTACTCCATTCTGTCCTAAGACACACCGTTCGCCAATCTATATCCCACCATTAAGTCTTATTTTACTACTTTCCCCCAAGTAAGTTTCGGTCTACCTCTACCTTTCTTTGTGTGGAGCTCTTGCTAACAAACTTTTATTCTTACGGGAGCATTCAGAGGCCTTCTCATTACATTCCCAAACCACCTTAATCTATGTTCTCTCATTTTTTCAGTCACCGGTAGAACTCCTACCTCACGTCTAATATCTTCATTTTTTATCTTATCCATCGTCGTATAACCACACATCCACTTTAACATCCTCATCTTTGCTACTCCCATTTTATCTTCATGTTGCCTATGTGCTGGCCAACATTCAGCTCCATATAACATTGCAGGCCTTACTTCTATTCTATAGAATTTTCCTTTTAACTTAAGGGGAATTTTGCGATCACATGAAACCCCAGAAGAACTACTCGTCCACCTTGCTCTGATTCTATGATTTACATCCTCATCAATCTCTCCGCTTTTTTGCAAAATGGATCCCATGTATCTTAAAGCATCTTTCTTGGGCACTTCTTGACCAAGTAGATGCATGGGATCTTGGTCTACATCTCTTACCAGAGAAAACTCACACTTCTTATACTCAATCTTGCTTTGGCTTAATGTGAATCCTTTAGTTTCAACGTGTTTCTCCATAATTCAGGTTTTCTACTAACACCATCTTTGGTCTCATCAATAAGCACAATATCATCTACAAAAAGTATACACCATGGCACTTCCTCTTGGATATCTGTTGTTAGTTCATCCATAATTAAGGCAAAGAGATAAGGACTTAAAGCCGAACCTTGGTGTACACCTACCGTGATAGGAAAAAAACTTGATGTTTGATGGGCTTATAAAACCTTTTGGAGAGGTATATCAGAGGAGAAACAAGGCTAAGGCCCAAGACAATGGAAACAGTGGCCATACAACCCAAGACAAAGGAAGCAGTGTCACGCAGAGGAGATAATGGAGTTGGATGAAGAGTTAGTTAAGATGAATGCCACGTGGCAAGCTGTGAATGGAGAGGGTAATGTAGGAGGAGTAGAGAATAAAGAGGGAATGGGGAGCATTGTGGGGTAGGGAATTCTGTTAGGAGTGGTGAAGTGGCTTTTGAGACGTGGTGTCTCATTGGCAGAGAAAGGTGTGAGTAGTCTGAAATTGTTATGTTCTTGTTAATTTGTTTCTTTTTCCATTAGTGTCTCTTCCTTTGAGTGTAATCGAAACAATATCCATTAATGAAAAATACTCGTTTTCATCTTTACATTCTTATCTGTTTGATCTACTGTGACTATTTGGTGTAAGAGAGTAATAGGTGCCATCATTTTTGGTATCAAAGCTCGTACGAGACCTGGTTGATATATGGTTAGAACGAGGATGGAGAATAGAATCGAAGTTATTGAAGGAAGAATCGGAGGGTTGGATGAAAGCGTGCGTCAATTACGTGAGACGCTCTTGGAGTTCATGGAACGAACTGAACGCAGGGATGCTGGTTCCGATAATGGATGTCATTCGAATGGTGGTGAAAGAGAAAATGAAAACAGAGACCATCAAAATACTCTGAATCCAAAGGGAGAAGAAAGGATGAGGAGAGTGGAGGTTCCTTATTTCACAAGAGAAGATCCTTATGGTTGGATCTTCAGAGCAGAACGTTACTTCGGTGTTAATAGGATTCCACCGAAAGAACAAGTAGAAACGACATTGATTTGCTTGGAAGGAAAAACATTAAGCTGGTTCCAATGGTGGGGACCAAGGAATCCGTTGATTGATTGGGAAATTTTTCGTTCGACAATTCTACAGAGGTTTCATATGTCCTCTTTTGGAAATCCTTATGAAGCTCTAATGGGGTTGAGGCAAACAAGGTCAGTAGCGGAATATAGGGAGCATTTCGAAATTCTGTCAACACCTTTGAGGCATGCAGATGAAGATATGACACAGGCTGCATTCTTGATCAGATTGTTGGAGGAGATCAAAGCTGAAATTCGACTGCACTTTCCCCACGATTTGGGGAGAATGATGTTGCTGGCGCTGCATGTGGAGGAAAGTGAGATGACGATGGCTATGGGAAGCTCTCATATGGGCCGAAACGGAAGTGGGTCAGGTAGTGGGGGTGGGTTAAGTGGGAGACTAGCCCTTGTTAACCGATCTGGACTGATGGGAGTTAGTGGACAGGGGCATAATGGGCCTCAATTAAATAATTCACATACAGCCCAAGCAACTAATCGGACCCACATGACCCAAACAAACCAAACAACTCAAGGAAACCAAACTGCCTCTGTAACTGGGGCGAACACTAATCGACCAAATGAGACACCACTGGAGAGGGAAGCAACCATGCCAACAGGGCAAACGTCGTCAGTTTATGGAGGCCACGATTCTCGACGGTCACGTTATCACTGGCTGTCGCCGGAAGAGATCGACGAGAGGAGAAGACGTAACTTGTGTTTCCGATGTAACGGCCTATTTTCGCCTGACCATGTGTGCCAAGGTCCTCAATTGCATGTCATGCTACTTGGGGAAGACAAAGTCGATTCTGAAGATGTAATTCCCAATGGAGAAGTGGCAGGGAACAGTGATGAAACACTGCAGCTCAGTGTTTAGAGTGTGATTGGGCTGACTTACTCTCGATCCTTGAAATTATGGGGAAGAGTGAGGGAAAAAGAGGTGGTAGTGTTGATTGACATGGGTGCGTCACATAATTTTGTGGCCCGTAAATTGGTTGAGACACTGAAAGTACCTGTTGGTTCTGTGAAGCGGTTTGCAGTGCAGGTGGGAGACGGTCACAGAGCTCAGAGTCCAGGTGTCTGTCGAAGCTTGCTCTTGGAACTTCCAAATTTAAACATTACACAAGATTTCTTTGTCTTTGACTTAAAGGGCGAAGATGTGGTGTTGGGCTATGAATGGTTGGCAGACTTAGTAGAAATCCAAGCGAATTTTAAGGAGTTACGTCTCAAGGTACCATGGCAAGGACAATGGGTATTTATCCAAGGGGATCCAACGCTCTCTTGCAGCAAGGTATCGTATAAGGGGTTGAGTTGTTCTTGGAAAAAAAGGGTGGAGAAGTATTATGTGGAGTTGAGATGCTGTGTAGAGGAGGAAGGAGATCCAATAGTGATTCCTCAGGTCATATCCCTTCTTCTACAGGAGTATCAAGGGGTATTTCAACCTTTGTCAGAATTGTCACCTCCTCGTTCTACTGACCATGGAATTTTATTGAAGAAAGGTGCTATTATTCCCAATATTCGACCATATCGATACCCACACTATCAGAAGGAGGAAATAGAAAAGTTTGTGAAAGAGAAGCTTTCAGTGGGCATGATCAAGCCAAATACCAGTTCATATTCCAACCCGCTGATTCTGGTGAAGAAGAAAGACGGTAGCTGGAGATTCTGTGTAGATTATCAGGCATTAAACAAGGTGACAATACCTGACAAATTTCCTCTCCCTATAATTGACGAATTATTAGATGAATTAAATGGTGCGAGTATTTTTTCTAAGCTAGACCTGAAATATGGTTATAATCAAATCCGAATGAAAGTGGGTGATATTGAGAAAATAGCCTTCCGCACACACGAAGGCCACTACGAATATGTGGTTATGCCTTTCGGATTACGGAGTGCTCCCTCCACTTTTCAATCCATAATGAATATCTTGTTTCGATCTTACTTACATAAATTTGTGTTAGTTTTTTCTGATGATATATTGGTGTATAGCAAGAATGAAGATCAGCATGTGAATCACCTTCGGGTAGTGCTACAGATTCTGAAACAGAACCGTTTTATGCTAATTACAAGAAGTGTAGCTTTGCAAAAGTTGAATTGGAGTATTTGGGTCATTTAATCTCTAAAAAGGGAGTATAGGCAAACCCACAAAAGTTGGAAGCTGTCACTAAATGGCCAATAACGAAAGATTTGAAGGGGTTGAGAGGATTTCTAGGCCTCATTGGATACTATAGAAGATTCGTCAAGCAATATGGTCATATAGCAAAGCCTTTGACTCATCTACTCAAAAAGGATAGCTTCAAATGGAGTACAGAAGCTCTAGAAGCGTTTGAAGCTTTGAAATCTACAATGGTTCAGCTACCTGCATTGGCACTTCTGGATTTGAATGAGACCTTTAAAGTTGAAACAGACGCTTCGGGAGTGGGGATGGGGGCTGTTCTGATGCAACATGGACGGCCCATAGCATATTTGAGTCAAGCTTTCACTGAAAGGGCTAAAACCTTGTCCATTTATGAACAGGAATTGAAGGCACTTGTGTTTGCTGTACAAAAATGGCGTCATTATTTAATGGGACGCCATTTCATCATAAGGACTGACCAGCGTAGCCTCAAATATCTTACGGAGCAAAGGGTAATGGCTGAGGGTCAACAGAAATGGGTTGCTAAGCTAATGGGTTTTGATTTCGAATTCCAATTTAAACCCGGAATAGAGAATAAGGTTGCTGATGCGTTATCAAGAGTGATGGACAATAAGGAATTAACCTTGATATCGAATCCAGATTTACAATCGATGGCTGAAGAAGTATTACAAGATATGGCTACTCATAAAATTATGCAGGAAGTATTGCTAGACAACAAATCTCACCCAAGATATCATGTGAAGAGTTTCACTCTTCCCTGGTCTTTGGTATAAAAATCGATTGGTGCTTCCCGGTCTTCTTCTCATATTCAATTAATTATTCAAGAGTTTCACTCTTCCCCATAGGGTGGACATTCAGGGGAGCTAAGAACATTTAAGAGAATAGCTGTAGTTTTTTATTGGAAGGGGATGCATAGAGATATAGCTGAATTTGTGAAAGCTTGTGCCATTTGTTAGCAACAAAAGTATGAAAGTTTGTTGCCAACAGGTCTACTTCAACCCCTGTCTGTTCCAGAGAGTGTGGGGAGATCTCAATGGACTTCATCGGGGGATTGCCTAAATCGAATGAGGTCGACACCATTTTAGTTGTGGTAGATAAATTGACTAAGTAGGTGCATTTTATGACTCTCAAGCATCCATACACTGCTGAAGACGTCGCTGCTGTATTTGTCAAGGAAATTGTGTGTTTGCATGGTTTTCCCAAATCTAGTATCTGACCGAGATCAGGTGTTTGTTAGCATATTTTGGGGAGAATTGTTTAAATTAGCCAGCACCAAGTTGAGTTTTAGTTCTGCTTACCATCCGCAAATTGACAGACAAACAGAAGTTATCAATCTGACAAATATATACGGACATATTTGAGTCGCATTAATAAATAGTGAAGGCTTGAGGATGATTGCTTGATGGTTTACTATGAGTCACCAACAGAAACAGGTTCAGCATTGAAATCAGAATCAAATTCAAGAATTTGAATTTGACCAACAGTCAATGTAAAACTCTTTACACTATCAATAACAATGTAGTCCTATATCATTTTAATAACTAAGGTTTTTGAGTTTTTCACTGCTACTAAAACCTTTGGGTGACAATGGCGCCATATGGTTAGAAAATAGTGTAAAGTATACTAACAGTGTATCAAAATTAAATCCAAAATTATGGAGAACTTATAAAACCACAAGCAAGAACAACCTCTTCTTTTCATTTTCCTCACCGCAAAACTTGAGCATCTTGATAAAAAAAAAAGGTAGTACCATTCAAACATTGACTCCTAAATATCCTTAAGTGAGGATGGCTTCCATTACATAACATAATGACTAACTTTTGATGTGTTCAAGAATAAAACCATACAAACAACGAATATGGAATGATCAGCAATAACTAATAATGGCTCATGACTCACAGCATAAATAACAGCAATTGTTTCAGATTGCGTCAAAGTCCAGTCCGTTGATTCATCGGTCACAAAGAACGATGTTGTTATCATCAGTACAGCTCCAAAGAAGTATGAATATGCTGTGACAGATAGGTTCGCAGGATACTTTTTTAATAATGGAGCCTGAAAATAATTCATTATAAATTAGTCATACCAAAAGTTTCACATAAAAGAACCTAATATCACCATAAAATTGTTCAAAAAAGTTTAGTAAGCACAAATAATTTGATCAATGAAGAAATTTCGAATGACCTAATTTTAAGGGTGGAACTTCTGCTAATAAACCATTCAATCTGACAACGAGCATGACAACTTTGGGATGTCATCCAATAAACATAAATCTAACCAATGATGAATTACAGGAATGGATTCATCCCACATAGCCTGTGAACCTGAACTTAAATGAATCATAATCTATCAATAGGCATAGCAACGTGTTTAAACGTAGATTGGATTAATACTTGCGTGATTGTTCGAAAACTCTGCAAACTTTTGTGTTCTGGGTAACCGAGTCTTATTGTTAGCACTTGCTATAGCAGTCAAGACTCAGGTGGAAAATTAATGAAAAATGGGGAACTCTGGTCCCAACCTCATTCTCTTATTGATCTCGTCATCTACTTTTTTTTTATCTGTTTTTTACTTGCTTGTATTTACTGTTTTTACTTAATTTTAGCTCAAATTTCAAATCTTAGTTCGTTTTTCTTAAATTAGATTTTTCGTTAAATGATAGTTAAAACTATCTTCACATTATTAATCTTCCTCATACTCTAACTCTCCACTTTATTTACTTGTTGACCATGTATACTTATGTGCGGCGATATTTCTGCAAACATAATTGGTAGAGGTATTAGTTATAGTTAACACCTATAAACGAGGGATCTAGCCTAGTCAGCAACAAAGACACCCTCAACTATAGTATGTCCATGATCTCTAGACCAAACATCACGAACCGAATCCGCTTTCAGATATTTCATTATATGAAGAACAACTTCCCAATGGGTTGTCCATGGAGATCACATTAGACTAACCACATTAACAAAAAAGATAATATCAGGATGAGAGACTGTGAGGTAGTTAAGCTTATCCACCAGTTTTTTGTATCGTTCAAGGTCCAAAATAATATCTCAATCATTAGGCGAAGATAATAGGAACCATAGGGGTTTCAGCAGGTTTAGCTCCGAGAAAACTTGTTTCTTTGAGCAAATCAAGAACACACTTTGTCTAAGCTAGAAAAATGCTCTTCTTAATCCTCATCACCTAAATACCCAAGAAATACTTTAATGCTCCCAAATCCTTAGTTTGCTAAGAGTTTGATAATAGGAACCATAAGGGTTTCAGCAGGTTTAGCTCCGAGAAAACTTGCTTCTTTGAGCAAATCAAGAACACACTTTCTCTATGCTAGAAAAATGCCCTTCTTACTCCTCATCACCTAAATACCCAAGAAGTAATTTAATGCTTCCAAATCCTTAGTGTGAAACTGTGAAGAAAATCCTTGTTTTTTCTAATCCCAATCTCATTACTAATAGTAATAGTAATGCCGCCACATACACCACAAGAAAGATACAACCACTTTGACAGTGTTGGAAGAAGACTGATTGACCAAAAATTGATGCATTGTTTTCCATTTACTGTTTCAGTTGCTCACTTTACACTCTACTAGCATTCCAACATTTCGCTCTAGTTTCTCACTTTATTTGTGTTGTTTCATTGCCGATTCATTGCATTGCTCTATTATTATGTTTCACTCCCTCTTCTCTCTCAAACAACCATTTCAGTCATTGGCCATGTTTGTTCTTCTCCTTCAAGCTCAACTTTCACAACCCTCTCAGAGGGCTCTCAATGATAGTAATCTATCCTCACTGGTGGTCACTGCAACTGTCAAGGTGTTGCTGCAAGCAGGTTAAGAAGATCAAAACGGGTCAATTGGGTTGAAGCAAGTCAAGAAGGTTTGACCAGGTTGATGCGAAAAAATAATCCAGAGCTCTAACCAGACTAACTCGGAGTTCAGTTTATAGGTTTTGAGCCTGACTGTCCAGTCTGGGCCATACAACTATGACTATTAGAGTCATCACATGTGTATAATAAATGGGAATAGGGGCTTAATAAATGAGTAATAGAGATAAGAAGCGACAATGATCAGTACCCTTTTTTTTTTCTTAATGTTGTAATCAATAATCATTTAAAGGATATAAAAAATATATATACCTGAATGGATAAAAAAGCAGCCATGCACATGCAGTTCCCTATGAAGCATAGAACCCCGAGATGAAAATGGTCTAATCCAAGATCCAGTAAACCGCTAATTAACCATCCAGAAGGTTCTGGTTGACCTCTGGCACTTATTTCACTTTGTGATACAAGGTCCATTTCTGTATATCCTATCAATGCCGGACCACGATACAAAACCATCAATATGGCACCAAAAACACAGGTAAGAGTTCCTCCAACCTTTGCCAGACCTTCATATCTTAACAGGTTCACTCTTTCTGTACTGCATGAATAAGTTCATTAAGTTACTTACTTGTTAATGTATGTCTTGGCGTATCTGAATTGGATTAATGTGAAAATTTCAGCGCAACATTAGTGTGCAGCCGTGTGTTCCAGAAAAAGCTGAATTAACAAAATACACACACTATAGAAATTGAAAAGATAGAGGAACTGACCCCATCATTACAGCCAACAGAAATGTAAAGACTGGAGTGGCTGGCTGTATTGCAGCAGCAATAGTTGGATTAGTATAGCTTAAACCAATAAGAAACAAAAGATGGTTGCCAAATATCCTGAGCATGAATAAAGAAGCAAAAACACCATTGCATCAATAAAAACACTACCATTCATACGTAACAAAAACAGGGAATATGTGACTATATCAAGAACCTTACCCAGTTAATCCAAGAAAGAAAAATGACAGCAGGAGGTGCTTGGTTATTGGAGGTCGTGTACGTCTACAGACAACATGGCATGATCAGGATACTCACACATTAGAAATAAAGTGAAGACTATGAGAATAGGGTATAAAAGAGTAGCAAGTTAAAATTTCACTTTTATGTTTGCATATGTAGCATAGTTAAATGTGCAAAGCAAGTGTAATCTATGCTGCCAACAAACAAATAAACAACCAGACTTGAGATGATAACCAATAAATCTCAATCGGGTAAGCCGTTTAATATTAATTTAACATTGAACATGCTCTAAATTAGCAGGAAGAAAGCTGAAGATATCAATAAACATAATTGCATGATTTCACACAATTAGGCATACCCTACAAACAGACACAAATGTTAAGAAAAATGTAGGATACCGAAACGGGAAATTCTAATATGCAGAGTATTACTTCAACACCAGTCATAATGTGACAATTGGAGAGAATAAAAAAAGTTAAATATGAATTGTTCAATTAGCATTAAGAAAACAAGAAATAATCAGAGCAATTAAGAATTGATGGAAGCAGAACCAGTTGATCAGTACAACACATAACCAATCATATATGCATTATGTAAAATGCACTGACAAGAACAACCACAGAGACTAATTCACTTCATCTAACATGCACATCAAACGAAAGAAGCCAGCTACTGTAAAAATTGAATCTTCATGGGAAAAGAAAAACACAAAACTAAAAGTTTTTAAAAGGGTAACTGGAGTAACAACAAAAGGGGAGGGGGGGGGGGGGGGGGGGGGGGGGGGGGGGGGGGGGAGAGAGCATTTGAAATTGAACAGAATCGAAATGCATGAAAGAAAAAGAAGATACTTTTCACGGAAATAAGCGATGGGAGCGAGAATGGAGAGGGCAAGGAGATCACGGAAGACGCAGAAAACGATTTGGTTGACCCCAACATTAAGGGCCAACTTGGTTATTACATGATACCCTCCATTGAATAACTGCACCATCGCCATAGCCATGTGGGCCTTCCATATCTCACCCCCACCAACTGTTCCTGCCATTAGATTACAACCCTCTCTCTCTCTCTCTCTCAGACTCTCACACACTACACAGAGAGGGAGAGTGGACAGAGCGGAAAATTTTGGAATTTGTTTTGTTGGTTCTTTGTTGAAACCAAGTTGGTGCTTTGAAAAACTCTGATGCTTCGTTTCAAAGGAAGAATGAAATTAAATATATATATGTACAAAAAAAAAGAAAAAAAAGGTAAAGAAAGATAAAGTGTTTGTAGTGTGTTGAGTCATGAAAAGAGCTCCAATGTACAAAAAAAAATAAAAAAAAATAAAAAAATTAAATGAAAAGAGCTCCAATCTCTATGCCGTTCCGTGCCTGCTCCTCCTTCGAACTTGTTTAATGTTATTATTAAAACTTGTTTAATCAATGACCGGTTTAATCGGAAACCAAACCGTCAACCGGTCTGGCACAATTAATTCAACCGTTACACAAATGAATTGGTCTGAATCTGGTAAATCTGTCCGTATTAGGTTGAATCAGTTTTTAAAATTTTATTTTCGGAATAAATTCTCTCATATATGATTTAATGTAATCCTATTATATGAAATAATCGTAATCGTTTATATATAAATTAACTTTCTTTCTTTTTTTTATCAATTTCTATTATAATATTTTTATTATTAATTTTATTCGTAAATAATTAAGATTGTCACATAATATGATCATATTACATCACATATGGAAAGATCCGTTCGCAGAATTTCCTGACACAATTTCATATGCAGATTTGAACATAAAGTGTCCTAATAAAAAATACTACGTATTATATTTATGGGAAATAATACTCTTATGCTACATAAGAGTACATCATTTTCCTACACTAATTCGTTTTCTGTGTCAATTAATTTTTCTTTTCTTTTTTAATATAAAATATGGGACCCACATTTAACTTCTCTCTACTTTTTTTATCTCCTACAATCCTACAACATAAGAAAACTTAAACCCTATATTTATTATATATATGGTTCAAATAGTTAAATCAATTATTTATTAATTGAATTAATGACTCAATACACGATCGATGATTATTTTATATTTAATAATGCTAATATTTCTATAAATAAAATGAAAATATTAAAGAGGAAAATAAATTTTTTTAAAAAGTTAGAGAGAAAAATAATGTTGGGAAAATAAACAAGAAAGAAAGCCGGGGAAAAACCAAACGTCATGGTATTTAATCAAAATATCATCATGGCCTTTGAAAAGAATGTGCCCCTCAGCCTAACATTCAGTTTGGCAAATATAATTTTAGTGCCATCGCTGTATAGAAGATTTAGTGCAATTGTTTATTTATTTTGTAATAAATATATAAAAAAATATCATATTATCTAATCAGTTGTCATTTAATTTTCTTTTTTCTTTAATTATATAGTATTTTTTATTCACGTGTCACCAAATAATGAATAGAAGTTGCATTAAAAAATTATTCTAGCGAGCACTTTTTGGTACTTCCTGTGCCAATATCAGTTCCCAAACTATAAACAATCAAGACTTAAAAGGGAATTATCCAAAAAAGCCAAGTATTTAAATGGCATAAAAATCTTCCGATTTTGGAAAAGGGAACGTAGCATTAAAAAAAGTTTCCAGTTTGGCCCTGGCCGTCGTTTACAATACTTCTTTCCGTTGACTATAATACCATATTATTTTTTTTGGTAGACATAATACCATATTATTTACATGACTTTATTCTCATCAGATTTTCCCAGATGTAAACTAAAACTTATTAATAAAAAGTTATGTGAAGTATTATTTAACGATCGAGATACTAGTTTATGAGGATTTTGAAAGAGACTGAATTGTAAAAGTATTATTATTTTTCATAATATTATGAGTATAATGTGAAATAATTTTAAGCATTCAAGTTTAAAATTAATTTAATTACATAAATAAAAATATAAAATCTATATGTATTTGAGAATTTGAAAAATAGTTGATGCTTTTAAAATAACAATAGTGCCGGAGAAATATTCTTTTTTGAGAAAAATTTAGGGTGAGACAATAATAGCCTCATTATAGGTTGAAGGCAGAAATCTTTAAGTGTAACGTTATCTTTACTTTAAAAAGAAAATATTAAATGAAGAGGAAGAAAATTTTCAAAAATTATTTAATACTTTCTTTTTAATTTATTGAGAAGATTATTAAATTAATTATCTTATAATTTTTCTTTGAATAATAGAAGATTCTTTTTTTTAGATAAATCACATACATCCTCCATGTAAAGTAATTCTGATCGTGGCAAATTCAAGATCAAGACTTTAAATTTTTCTCAAAAATAGTATTGAGAAGGATTTTCCACACACCAACTGAACTACTATCATTTGGAATAATAAAAGAATATAAATCTTAGGGTCTCAAAATTTAAGACGGTGTAAATAGGTTTTTGTAAAATATCTCCTCTTTTATTAAAAAACACTTCTTTTTAATTTTTGATTTAAGATGAATAAAGAGTAATAAATGAAAGCCTATGTTCGACCAAGAATAATTATCAAATTTGCATCTAAGTAAAATTACATGAATGCTTGAAATGATAAATTAAAAAAGTAAAGTATGTAAACTAAGTTTACTTTAAAAAGAAAATATTAACTCAACAGGAGTAGCTCAGTTGGCAACACAAGCTAAGTAGAGAGGGAAAAGAACTTAAGTTCGATTTCCAACAAATACATCTTTGGGGAGAGACGATGACTTTAGCTGTGACTAAGTCTCGATTCGGGATTAGTCTCATAACTCGCTCAAAGAGTTGAAGCTTGTGAGGATACCCAGGAGCCGACTATAGGGGTGTAAATTGGTCAGGCTGGCCTGGCCTAGCCTACAACCCGACCTACGTTGAAAAGTAGAGTAGACTTAGGCTTATAAGAAAGCTTTTTTAACAAATAGGTCGTAGGCCAATTTTGTCAAGCCTGGCCTAAAGCCTTGTAAGCTGGCCTATTTAATTTTTAAAAATAAAATTATATATTTATTTTAGGTGACAATTAGTACCAACCCTTGTCTTGATGGTGGTTTAAAGATATTTCAATGAATGATATTATCTTGTAGACTTTATTTGAGCTTTGGTTGACCTAGTAATTGTATTTTTTTATTTTTCCTATGTCTTTGACTATACTCCTCTTTGATATACATTATAGAGTTGGGGTATTATGTTGACTCTTTCTTGTTTGTCATTTTTTATTTCTTATGAGAAGTACTAGTGCATGCATGAATGGAACTTTGCTCAGTATATTTTTTTAGTTATTTTTTTTACTATTGTAAAATATTTAATGCTCACTAGTGAAATTTATATCTCGTGTAAAAAAATGCAGCAATTTATGAACACGTTAATGACTTGTAATGTCAGGCGAATATTTTAAAAATTGTTAAAAACAATTTTATATTTTTTTAAAAATATATCACGAGGGAGACCTACAAGGCCTGTAGGCCATATCAGGCTCTCTAATTTTTAAAAATGGGTCAGGCTTGGCCTATAAATAAAGCCTTTAGTAGGCCAGATAGGCTGAATATTTTTTTACGTAGGCTTAGGCCAGAAAGGCCAAAGCCCAGCCTAGCCCATTTACACCCCTAGCCGACTCGCCTCAAAGAGATAATTAGGGCCAATATACTCAAAAAAAAAAGTTAAATGTAGAGGTGGAAAAATGTAATATATTTTTAATTCAAAAATTATTTAATACTTTCTTATTTAAGTTATTGGGGATATTATTGAATTAATTATTTATTATTTTTGAAATAATGAATGACTCTAAATGTTGAATAATAAATGATTCTAGTGGGTGCATTTTTTTTTAGAGATATATACATTGTTTTCGCAATTCGACTAGGTGTGGTGAAGGCCAAAGGTTTTCCCAAGAGCACTTCTCCAAGGATTGAACTTTCAACCTTGGGGTTCAAACATCCTCTTTTAAACTGTGTTTTTTTAACGATAGCCAGCCAATATTGTTCAATATGGGATTTTGAGGTTGTTATTTATGGACCTACATAAGACCTATATATCTAAAGGCCCAACAAAGGGCAATTACATGACAGCTGTGCAAGAAGACAATTAGGCTTATGAATAGAAGGCCCATAACTGATATATCCACAGGTGAAACTCTATAAATATGAGGTAAAGCCTATAGGTATGACCTAACCTCTCTCTCTCTCTTACAGTTACGCTTTGTCACTGTGCATACACACAACCCCATTGGCTTATGCCGTTATTAGTTGTGTGCAATTACCTTCCATCTCTAGATATATGCTTCATAGATACCTTAGAGAGAGAGTCTGGTCCCATATTGACCTACTAGCCTTAGACTAGACATCTTTGTCACACAGACAAAATATTGACACCGTTTGTGGGATTCTATAAATTTCTATTCCCACGATTACTATGGCAATCACGTGAAGTGGGTATCAGGGCCACTTCTATCACATCCTGGGCTGCCACAAGATCCAGTGATAGAGGAGATACCAAGGAATGAAGCCAATCTTAATAATCAACAGGTGATTGATTATGATGTTGTTCGCGTGAGTGATGTGTATTTTGACTCGGCATCAACCCCGACTATGAACCAAGATTTGCCCTATATCGCGGGGTGAGATTTGACAATCTCAGTAAACCACGGGTCTTGGAGGGTCACTCCACCCAATGACTTATTTAATGTGCATGCAATGATAAACATATGAACAATATAACATATGAAATCACAACAATCACTGCACAAACAAGCCAAGAACATCCAAATAAGAATATTATATACGACTACCACCCATAACTCCCGAGACATTCCTAGTACCGTTCCCAAAATGAAGACAACACTATAAGAAAACCTGATTAGAACTCCCCATGGAGACCTATCCAGTGAAACTCCCATGAATCTATCTACTGGCCATATTTACTAGTATATCAAAATATATACCAGATACAAGTATATCAAAACATGTACTAGACAACATGCAAAACGCATGTCAAACAGCAGGTAAAAATGCATGATCATACTCTATTATACATTATCAAAGATCACAAATCCAACCATTCCCAAAGGACATGGCAGAGAACACAAAGGGACTAACCCCAAGACACACAAAAGTTTACCTGTAAAAGGTTCCACAAGCAATTTCACAAACCAACAAAAAGAAGCTTCCAAAGCTTAATCCTCCAAAATTGGATCAAAGAGAGTCAACCTACAATGATCATACCACAATATGATCAATCACATGCTTAAGAATGCACAAGCCAACATAAACAA